GTTTGAGCAACGTTGACCAGAACAAGCTTCTCTGAGGATATAAAATTTCCCTGGAAATTTGTGGACTTGAGAGAGCAAGCCATGCAAACCCATCTTCAAAGCAGAAGGGAGAAAAAGTAGAACGCTCTGGGGTGGGAGAATGCTTGACATTTTAAAATTAAAACAAGATAGCGGCGGTGGCTAGAGTGCAGTGACCAACCGACCGCTAGGACGGGGTGCGTAGGAAGATGCAAGATGATGTAAAATGATATAAGACCTTGGAAAAAGTTTTAAGGAATTTCAGTTTTATTCTGAAGATAAATGTTTAGAGCAATAAAACAACATGAACAGATTTATAATTTTAAAGAAAATTATAATATTTGAATGAGACTGTAGCAAGGAAACCAATTCAGAGTCTGTCACAGTGATGCAGGTGAGAGATGATGGTGGCTTGGGCCAGGGTAGCAGCAATGAAAGTGATGAGTAGGTATTTCTTACTGGATGTTTTGAAGGCATACATGAAAGCCTTATCAGATTGCATGAGGGGTGTAAACAAATAGAGGATCCAAGGATAATTCTTAGTGGGGTGTGTGTGCGTGTGTGTGTGTGTGTGTGTGCGCTTGGCCTTGAATGCCTGGTTGAAAGGTTACCATATATACAGGTGGAAATATTGGAGATCAGTAAGTTAGGGAGAAAAGTTGACAATCAGCTGTGCACATATGGTATTTAAAGACACATGATTCAGTAGGATCATCTAGGGTGTGAATGTGAAAGGAGAGAATAAAAAGTTCAAAGTCAATCTCTGTAACTGATCTACATTTAGAGGTTGGAAAGGGGGAAAAGATCCAGGAAAGGAGGCTGAGATAGAGTATCCTGAGATTAACAACCAAGCAGGGAGTTTGCTGTTCTGAAATTCAAGTGCACAACGTGTATCAAGGAGCAGAGTAATAAGCTGTGTTAAAATCTGCTCTAGGGTCAATCTAAAAGTGAAACTCAGCCACTTGATCTAGCTACCTGGAAGTCATCAGTAATGTTCAAACACCTCTGTCTGTGAAATACTGGTGACGAAAACCTGAACGGAGCAGGTCAGGTGAGAGAAGGAGGTAAGAAAGTAGAAACAACTCAGCAGCTCTTTCACAATGTCTGCTATAAATTCAGAGTAGAAAATAGGATGGAACTTCAGTTTTTGAGTCCCTTCATTCTATAGAGCAATTTAATCTAATATTAGAGAATCTTTCTCCTATTCCTCCTTTTTCTCCTCCCCTCCTCTTCCTCCTTTTCCTCTTTCTTCTTTATGTGGAAAATTAAGGTTAAATTCTCAGCCCAAGATCATAAGATGGGTAACTGGTAAAACAAGGTGCGAAGCCCGATTATCAAATTCTATTTCATTTCCGCTACAATAACGCAGGAAACCTACATTTTTCTTACAGGAATATATTTACAGGAAGAGAGACTAAGGATGATATCCTTTCCATGTATCACTTCATATTTTCTCCATTCTCCTATTCATCCTCATATCTCGTTCACCCAGAGGCTTAATGTCCACCTATGGACTGATTGACCTGAGGTGATGAAGCAGGTTAGGGTGAATACTTTTGGTTTTAAAAAATTATGTTAATATAATTATGTTATTTCCCCACCTTTCTTCTATCTCTCCCTGTCCTCTCCTCCCTCTCATATAGTGTAGTAATTTGTCTGAAAACATTTTCTCCTTAATCTTCCACTTTGTGCTTGAGAGCTGGTGCCTGCAGAGTTCTCAGGTAAAAGCTTAGCCTTTTGGGAGCCATGGATCCCCAAATAAGGTGCTCATTGGCGAACTGAACCATAATGGTTCCTCACAGCACACCACGCCAGCAACTCAGGGATCAACTACTCCCCGAACAGTAGTATTATCTGACGTGATGAATCATTATAGTTTCATTACAGCCTTTTGAGTCAATGATGTGGGAAGAATGGGCTATCATTTTTAGCCCTTCGGGAAAAGAGCTATTTTGCTTCCCCAATGGCGCCTCCTTCCATTTCATCCATGTCCGCTATTTTTGACTTTCTCCCTCAGGCCCTAGTACCTCTACTGTGCTGTAACCCCCAAGAAAGCACATATGTTTGATTATTTATTAGTGACATTGCTATTGGCTTAGCATCTTCCAATACATTGGCTTTGCATCTTCCAGTACATTTGCTGTCCACTATTTTTGAGTTTCTCCCTCAGGCCCTAGTACCTGTACTGTGCTATAACCCCCAAGAAACCACATGTGTTTGATTATTTATTAGTGACATTGCCATTGACTTAGCATCTTCCAGTACATTTTGCTGTGAGGAAAAGAGCACTAAGCTGAAAAACCACAATAGATGTCAGTCAGTGGGAGTCTGGTAATGAAATTTATTTGTAATTTTAGAACAGTGAGTATTTCATGTTGATTGATGGGTTGGTTGGTTGATAGATGTAGACATAGATACAGATAGGCACAAAAACACACATACATGCATATGCAGAAACACATATAAATATATGTATTGTCTGTCTGTCTATCTATCTATCTATCTATCAATCATCTATCTACCTACTACAATTTGCATCCTCAGAATCTTAGTAGAGGGATGTTTGCTAGGAGAATGCATTCAGTCTAATGCTTCTTTATCTGAAAGTTTTAATCGTATTAGTGTCCCTGCCTGCTCCACAGTGTTAGTGTGAGACTTGACAAAGTCATTTGAGAATATTATATATAGAAGTCCATATGTGTACCTCATCAGTTTATTCATTTAAACTATAGAGATTCAATAGAAATTTTTTCAACAGACATTTCTGATCATCTGTTATCTGCCTGGAAATACGCAGGGTTCTAGAGATAAGGACTCACACGCTCAAGACCCTCAAAGTCTAAGTGGCGAGTGTAAGATTTCTTCTATTGGGCATGGAGTTAATTTTGGTTAATCTCCAGATTGAGAGTAAATTCAACTGAAAGACCCAGAGATTCTAGTGACAGACTTTTACTTGCAATAAAAAGGATATTTGGTAGTTTTGGGCAGCCTTTGAAATACAGTTGGGTTTATATTTGTATCTCATCAAATAAATATTCCTTTAAGTTTCTTCTACTAAGAGTAAAAATAGCAATTCTTCATAGTTGTAGAGTGCTTTAATCTAGTGCTTTCACATAGTAAGTTTATCTGATGTTCATGGTGATCCTGAAATTTTGTTATCCTACTTTTACATATGAGGAAGTGATCTCAGAATCACGAAGAATCTTGCATAAGGAGGTTAAGTTGATAGTGAAGTTGGAATTGCGTCTGGGGTGTCCTGTGCTATCCTGGACATTGATCTTGTACCTACTAGACCCTAGAAGAGCCAGAAGGTCCCGGGAAGTTGGGTGGCTGGGTGAGAAGGGACCTTCATGGGGCTTGAGAAAGTGGCTATTTACTAAACATAACTGAATTATTTTAATAGCTTAACAAATTATGTAACCATACCAGAGAGAACTGTCTTATCTCTTTCTAAGTCAATTATTAAAAATACAAAAATCTCAAGAGTAAAAACAGATAATAAATATGTCTCCATGTGTATTTTATCACAATCTTAGTACATTTCTAGGATCAAGCAAATTTTGGAAACAGTAGCATTGATTCAGTGTGGGTTCTGGGATTAGATTGCCTGTTTAAATTCTACTCAGGTAACCTAAGGAAAATCATTTAACCTTGTTAGTTCTCATTTTATTTATTTGTGAATTTGGAGTAATTAAAGTGACTATCTTATAGGGTTCAAAAGATCAAGGTTAACCAATCTATGTAAAATTCTAAGCACAGTCACTACTGGATCCCTGTGAACAGCCAGTAAATGTTGGCTATAAAAATATAATGTTAGCTGTATAAATGTCTGTCTTCTAATGCAGCTTTCATCCACATTTATGGAGTGTCTTTGAAGTTACATTTCTCACGTGAAGATGACTCACTGTCCTTTAGTTACTGGGACATGTTACGTGACTTGTTCACCAATGGTAAAAAGTAAGAATTTGGAGTAGCTATTGTTAAGCTAGTTGGAGAATCTGGAAAGAAGGTTTATTATTGTCCTCCCACTTAGAAAAAGTACATATGAGCCAGCAAATAAAGTCCTTTATATAATTTTGAGAGGTTCACAGCTTCCTGTGTCTGATTTATTAGATTGGAAAGATATTTTAGCTGCCAACTCATCTCCCATACAATTCTAAAGATGAGCAATGTAAAAGCTAAGACTATTGGGACATGTCTCAGTTTGGGATCTGTGGTCAGTGGAATAGTGGTTTCTACAACAGTGTCTATGTTCTAGTGTTCTTGGGACCTGTGAGTGTGTTACCTTGTCCGGCAAAAGGGATATTGCAAATGTGATTGAATTAAGAACCTTGAGATGGGAGATTATCCTGGGGAGCGTGTTTTTATGGATACAGTAATTTTCCTTCTGTGTTGTTGGAATCCATCTTCCATAATGATTTAGAAACCACTCTCCTAGGGTCTCAACCCCTAATCCTCCTGTCAGAGAAGAAACTTTGAAGAGGGAGATTAATGGAATAAACTACAACCACACTCCTCCATTAAGTCTCAGGCCTCAGTAGGTATTGTCATTCCCTTCCATCAATTCTAGCCTCCTCTCTCAGCTACCACCTTTGCTGACCTACATAGCTAGTAGCCTGATCCGTATTGTCATAACTGAGGAGTCTAAGCTCCTGGTCCTCATGTCCTTTGTAGAGTGAGGTTTCTATCCCTATCTGTTTACAGTCACTGTACAGTCAACTGATCAGGATATTACAAAGAAGCACCGAAGCAGATTGCCTGCATTCTACATATATTGTTTTTTACCCCATCTCATGTAATGGTAGCCCTAACTCCTTCTGATAACAAGAGTCAATTATTGCTGGTAAATGGTGACTCCTCTACTTGCCTGCACATCCTTAGGAAAAGGAGTGAAGTAACCAGGTGGCGGCCACAGCTTTTAATTCAGTGCGACTCAAGAGGGGGTCCTGGTGTATGCTCTCTTTCAGATCCAGGACCTCCAACTCAATAGTCTGGAATTGCAGGAAGGAGAAGCACAGATTTCCCCAGGGGTCACTAGAGGTCATGGTAAGTGAGGCCACACCTGCTTCCATCACTTGGTTCCTGAACCCGTGTATCCTTCCTACGGAATACACAGCACAATATAAAGGCCTCAGATACATCCTGGATGATTGCATTCCATCTTCACAGGGTATAACCTCTGAGCTGATGTCTCAACTGTGTCTTCAGCAAGCTGTTCCAGAAATGCATCAGGCCAGCAACTTCCTGGTAATGTGTTATGTAATATCAAACTGGATCTATTGATCATCACTTCATTCCTAAACCTCCTCTGTTGAAATGTTGATTCTCTTGCTCTGACTTTATAAGAAATCCCGTGCTAGTGGATGGAACACTCAAAAAAACCTTGGATTATGATACCACCTGAGCCCTATGGGCAGGAATGACAAATCTATAAACAGAATACATTCTATTTCTTTGTGAATGAACCACTGGGTCTTTCTAGGATAGACCAATAAACTGAACTTAACATCAAGTAATTGTTTAGGTTTTACGAGGAATGGTGCCACATAGGGGGCTCACCCTTGTTCTCTGTTGTAGGTTGGACATTTGGCAGTGGAGGTAGCTACATCAGCCTTGGAAATGGAAAACCTATGCTATTGGGGCAATGCAGAGCTTCTATTTGTGCCACTGTGGATATTTATTGTATTGGGCCATCCTAGAAAGACCAGTGGTTAATTCACTGGCATGGTTACTGACTGAGGCTGGCTATTGCCAACTGTCCAAATTATTTTGTCTACCAACTTAGTACCCTAACTATGGTGGATGCTTTCTGAAGGTAGATACTAAGATACAATGCAATGATTTCCATAATTTATGAACACGCTATATATCTCTTATACGTATTGGCCATAACCTTTTGTCTCTCATCTTGCAATTGTTTCCATCCAAGTCCTTGACCAGGTTCCCAGGTCATTCACCAATGCCAATAAATCCATACATATTCCAATCTTGGAACACTTCTTATTACAATGAAAGTGAATGACATGGTGTAATGCCTAAAGATCTACCCATTGGGAAGACTTTTCATTATCACTGTTTTACAAGACCACCTCTGAGTGAGGCTGTAATGCAGCCAGGTTCCATTTTTGGCTTATAGCCATGTACTGAGCTGTACATCTGTTAACCAAGCTCAAGTTTTTCCTTTCTCCATTCATAGGTCACTTAGGTACATACTGATTCCTTGTTCCCTCCATTTTGTAAAACCATCCCAGCAGGTTTGTATCAATTTTATTAATCCTTTCAAATAACCAAGTTAGAACCATTGACTTTTTTTCTGTTTTGATCTAATTTTTTTTTTTATTAACTTTCATTCATTTCTATTCTTATGATCTATTTTGTTTTTAATTTGCTTTTTTTGTATATACCTTAGGTTATTATCTTAGATCACTTCACTACCTTTAACTTTTCTTCTTTTGTACTGTAGGCATTCAAAGTTATAAATACTTCTTAAAAATACTCATTTAGCAAAATCCTACAAGTTCTGACATTGTTACTATTTTTATCTTAAGTGGTCTATCATTTATTAAAAGAGGGTTATTAATTAATATAGTCATACCATCTATTTCACTCTTAATATTTTTGCTATATATTTTTCCATTTTAAAAATTATCAACCTATCTTTATATTTAACAATTAGTTTTTGTTAACAACCTGTTACTGAATCTTGCTTTGTATCTAATTTTGCAACTTCTGCTTTTTAATTGGAATATTTTAGTTTCTTTAATTTTTAATATAAATATTGATGTGTTGAAGCTTAATTCCACAATGATTGCTACTTGTTTTACATTTTTTCCATTTGCATTTGTTTCTTTGCTTCTCCATTATTTTCTTCTGTTTTTGAATTGTTTGTTAATATTCCATTTTATTTCATTGACTTATTAGTTATTTCTTTTGTGTTTTGTAATATTTACTCCAGATGTTACAATATGTGTGTTTAACTTATAATCTTTCTTCAAGTAAAATTATGCTACCTAATGAAAAATGAAAGTTAATATGCTAGTACACTTCTATGTTACTTCTTCTACTCAGTCAGAACAAAGTTGAGGCATATGAGAGACCTCGTTTATAAACATGATCCTGAGGATGAGAGTTTCCTAAAATCATATACTCTAGGCACCTAGCCCACCTCATCCTAGATTGTACTCTCCTCTCTCTTCCTGCCATGTTTTGCCATTATTGTCAAATATTTTATTTCTACATATACTATGGACTCACAATAATTGTTTTTCTTGCAAGATTTAATAGTCAACCTCCAAAGTAATTTTATAAGTGTGTGTGTGCATGTGTGTGCACACGTGTGTGTGTGTGTGTGTGTGTGTATAATAAAAAGGTATATTGACCCTTTTGGTATTTTTTTACTTCTTCCTATTGATCTGGCCTTCATATGGCATTATTTTTCTCTATAACAAATAATTTCCTCTTATCATCATTATATTTCAGATCAACTGTAGCCACATTTTCTCACATTCTATGTAACTGAAAATGTCTTTATTTTGCATTCCTTTTTGAGGAATGATTTTTGTATATACATCATTCTAGGTTGATTTTTTTTCTTTAAACACTTTAAAGATGTTGTAGTTTGACTACTTTATATATGATTCAGTTTGTATTAATTTTGCTTGTGATTTGCTTCTCTTCTTGATTCTGAAATTTTATGTGTTCCAAAAATTTTGGAAAAGTATTGGAAACTTCTTGGTTCTCTCTCTTCTCTTCTTCTGGTACTCCAATTACATGACTTATATTATTAGAATTGTTCCAAAGTCTTGGGTGCTGGAGGTGTTTTTATTCTATCTTTTATCTCTCTTTGTACTTTAGGTTGGGTAATGCCTACTAGCCTGACTTAAAGTTCAGTGACCCTTTCCTCTGCTGTGTCCAAAATGCTTTGAAATCTAAGAAATGACATTTTAAAAAATTTCTAACAGTTTGTTTTCTCTTTTTATTAGTTTAGTCTCTCTTTTGATATTCTCTTTGGAAATTTCTCTGCTCACATATGCTAACTTTTCCCATTAGATTTTTAAATACATTTTTTATACTTATTTTACAGTCACAATGTGGTAATTCCAACTTCTCTGCCAACAGTGGGCCTACTTCTATTGACCAATTTATCTCTTGGCCATGAGTTGCTGTTTCCTACCTTTTTCATATGTTCTTAATTTTAAATCAAGTGCCAGATATCCTGTGTAAGATATAGCTGAGAGTAAAGTAGATACTATTTACCTCGTCAAAAAGGGAATTTCCTTAGTTTCATCAGACTGCTGCTAAGGTGATTTGAGTTAAACTCTTCTGTAATTGAACTGAGTCAGGCCACTGTGTGGAGAGTGGATTAAGGATTGCAGAGTCACAGGGTGGCAGCAGGCAGGCCATGGGGAAGACTTTACTGTTCTCCAGAAGAAAGAGAATGGTGGCTAACACTAAGGTGTTAGAAGTATACAGGAAAGTGTTCAAATTTGTGACTAATTTCAGACTTGAGTGAGTGTGAGGCAGAAATGAGAGGACACTATAAATGAAATCTGCCATGCTTTTGGATGTGCAGAGTGAGGAGGATGGAAAGATTGAGGAAGGATAACCACAGACTTCACCAGCTGGCTCTGCCTTTTCAGGGCAGGTTGCACATCTCATGTCTTGTACAGGATTGAACACAAGAGTTGGCACATACAGGTAATAGGTGTACAACAAATGCTTACTGGATAGCACAAACTTAGCCTAATTTGAAATGTCTTTCAAAGTCTGTCCTAATATCCCCTGAGCTCTCTTTGGCTGGCCACATTTACCAGTAAATTGCTGTAAATAAAAGATGCAAAATTATTTCAGGGGCAGCAGATACAATGACGGTCCTGATTTTAATATCCTGTCAAGGAAACTGCCTCCAAGTAAAACTCTATGGCTTGTTTTACTTAGTTCTGTTAGAAGAAAAGCTTTGCTGACCTTGATGTATCCTCACTTATATAGTTCTGGGACATCTAAATATTTCAAGCCCCTGGTGCACACTATAATCCTGCCCAGTAAGTAGCAAATAGGTCTCAGTATTTTCTTTGCTCAAACTGCATTATACATTTCTGGACTTACAGATCATAACTCTGCAATCACTTGTTACCTATGCATGACAGGTAGGGAGATTAGCACAGAAAGGAACAGACAAAAATGCTTTCAGAGAAAGAAATTCATTCTCAGCAAGACAGAGGGTATCCAGGCAGTGATTTTCAGTGTCCAAAGATGAGAGAGGCAGGTGAAAACTGGATTGGGTGGGCAGGATCTGCTATTATTGAGCTGCTTTAAATTAAGCCCTTATATTCTCCCAACTACAAGCATGTTAGTCTGTTTTCACCCTACTATGAAGAACTGCCTGAGACTGGATAATTTATAAAGAAAAGAGGTTTAATTGACTCACAGTTCAGCATGGCTGGGGAGGCCTCAGGAAACTTACGCTTATGGTGGAATGTGAAGGGCATGCAAGGCACCTTCTTCACAAGACAGCAGGAAGGAGAAGTGCCGCGTGAAGGGGGAGGAGTACCTTACAAAACCATCAGATCTCATGGGAACTCACTCACAGTCACCAGAACAGCATGACAGTAACTGCCCCCATGATTCATTTACCCCCACATGGTCTCTCCTTTGACATGTAGGGATTATGAGGATTATGGGGATTACAACTCAAGATGACTTTGGGTGGGGATGCAAAGCATAACCATATCAACTAGGTGTTTTTCTTGGGTTTTTGCGTGACTACTGGCTCCTTTTGGGGATGGCTTTCTGTGAATTCCTCAGACCACACACTCTTTTATCCGAATCTTTGTTTCCAAGTATTATGAAGTTACCTAGGGAGGTGTTGTTATTGGGCTCAGGGCATAGCTCTTTTAAGACCAGCAAAGGCACACTCTAAAGGAACTGCCATCTCTCTTACAAGTAAAACCAGCATCCTCAATGTTGTCCCTGAAAGACGTCATGATTTGAGGGATCTATCTTCTTACTATCTCCATCTCTGCACTGCCTTTGGCGGGTGGTGGGAG